AAATAGTTTCGTCCTCTGCTTTCATTCAAGGGTGAGTGGTCTTAACTAACAGTTGATTGCAGCTGACTGCGAGAGCCCACACACTGGAGTGCCAGATCTGATGCCATCACCACAGGACCCAATGCAAGTCAGTCTCACCTTCAGTCCTTAGGCTGTTCATTATTCAAAATAGGAGAGTGTTGGGAGGGCCCGTCAAGGCGCCTACATATAGAAATTTGGTGGAATCTAAGACTGCGGAGAGCAGTATTACTTGTGGCACAGAGATTGACTAAAGTGCAATAATGACTGAAAATATTAACCAAATACAACCAGTCTGTAGCAGGATTCTGACCTCAGTCTTCCAGTGCACAACTTCCATACACCACCAACTGTTCCTTATATCGCTTTTCATGCTAACAATGTGTACAACAGAGTACCTCTCACACCCTGTGCTGCACCCCCTCACCTCCCTGACCACATCCTTTGCCTTCTCTTGCCTGGTGCAAGGACAAGCAGAAAGGAACACAGAGTTGAGTCATGCATCTTGAATGTAGTGCCTTCTGACAGACACCTGGTGACAAGGACATTGTCTCGTACATGGAAATGATGACAGTCCATTTCAAACAGATCAACTCCAAAAAACAAAACAAAACAAATCCAATTTAGGATAGCTTTTCTTTTGTGAAATGATCATAAAACACTAGATTTTCAACTCTAAAGGAATTCAGATTCCTGGAGTGATGTTAAACAAATACTCTTAGCAGAAGCCCTATCTTCAGGAATACCACCTAATAAAGTCCATTATTTAAATACAGTTCCTAGAAGGATAGCAACATTAGCATTTTTAGATTGCATCCCAATAATAACCAATTCCTTAGGTTACTTTATGGGGAAAAGTAAGAATTATTCAGGTAATGATACCCAAAAGGAATTTCCTGAAGACAGTGATTCCAAATGTCAATGTACTGAAATAGGCTGAATGGTAGGTGGCATCATGGTCCCAGAAGTCACTGTGCCTTACAAGGCAGCTGTAACATCTGAAACAGGTGGGAGGCCCCCACTGTGGTAGGTTAGGCTGCAATGAAAGGACAGAACCTGCAAGTCACTTGTGTCTTGAGAAGGAAAAGGCAGAAGTGGACAACTTGGTTAGGAGGTGAGAGGGCACCACCAGTGCTCCACCACGTTGCTCTGAATTTTTCAAGATAAAAAGACTAGGCTTATTTAACTGGGCCTCCATCTTCCACTTATTACACTTCAAAAGCGCTTCTAGAACTACAGCTTTCCATTTTATTTTTAATAATGCCACAGACAGTAGTTAGATGTGGCCATCAACACTTTGAAAAGAAAGGGACCCAGGACACTCAAGTCTGACTTTCTCCACACTTCACCACATGATTAGCTTCAGGGCTGAATCTCAGCAAAATCAGGAAAGTCTTCTCTTGCAATCAGCAGGTGGAGCAGACTCTATCTTCTGAAGGAAAATTGGTCTTCTAATCAGACTGTTAAGTGCTGTTGAGTTGTAGATGACTCATAGTTACCCTATGAATGAAAGAGCTGAACACTTGTGTAACTGTCATTGTTTCTCTACATTCATAGAGTTTCCACTATTGCATTTGACACATCAGTGTCACAGTGTCCAGCTTCACAGCAACCACGAGTTACCTCGGTACAGCAAGTGGACAGATCAGGGCTATATGACCTAGAAGAATGTTTGACCAAAATCGACTAGGGAGTGAAAAAAAATGTTGAGAATAATGGAGTAGCAAAACCAACCATGAGCTCCCTAAAGAATTTACAGCACCTATCAAAAGGTATAGCTAAGAACAACATTTAAGATACATAAATTGTCATAAAGAATCAGTAACATATATTTGTGTCCTCATGACTAAGCTGAAGAGACAAACTATAACTCATATAGTGTATGCATTTCTCTCTAGTTATATGCCTCATTCTTCCCTGGTATAACCATTAGTGTAAGTTTGATGAATGGACAAGAACACTGAAGAAGAATGGACACAATTGAATTATGGTGCTGGCAAAGAATATACTGAATATAACATGGACGGCCAAGAGAACAAATTCATCTGTCTTGGAAGAACAACAACCAGAATGCTCCTTACAAGTGAGAATGGTCAGACTGTGCTTCACCTACTTTGGACACATTATCAGGAGGACATCATGCTTGATAAAGTAGAGGGTGAGTGAAAAATGAAAGCCTCCAATGAGATGAATGGACACAGTGTTTGCAAGAGTGTGCTCAGACACAGCCGTGACTGTGAGCGTGCAGGACTGGCAAGTGTTTCATTCTGTTCTGCTGAACGTAGTAAAGCTCTGGGAGCTGAAATCTACTTGACGCCACCTAGCAACAGTAACAACAAATTTGGTTTTAATTTTCCCATTTTCCTTATACTTTAATTGCCTATTAATTATTTTTGAGCAACATGTAGAATTGCTGGCATTCTCCTTTCCCTCCAAAATGGGGGGGGGGTGTCTCTGTCAACTCTTGTCAGTTGTTCTGACTTCAATTCAAATATTACATTGAAATATGTTCAAGCCACTGGTTTATAATATACTCTCTTCATTGTTACCGACAAAATCTGGTATTAAATATTACCTAATATTTACTGAAACTGACAGGTAATTAGGGTGATACTTGTCACCCTTAGAAGAAATAGAGATCATATGCAGACATTTATAGTCGGCAAGGACTTGTGTTTTCAAAATCACCTGCCACTTAGGGAAGGTATCCTAAGACTTAAATAAAAACGTTATGGCTCACAGTATTTCTATCAGGTGATTTCTCAAAAAAAGAGATTTTACTTTTAAAATATTAACTGTAAGTAACACTTCAATATAAAACAAAACAATTTCTTCCACATGCATTATAAGGTGTTGAAATTAATCTATGAAGTCCCTTATGATTAAGGTTTCCCACAGATTTACCAATTGTATTGCCACCTTTACATGAGAGATCTGAAGAATTAAGAGTGAGTGTTGGGCATTTAAGCCTAACTCTGTTTGCAGGGTGAATTTTAAAACAGAAGAATTTTGAGAAAGACCAAATGACTATCACCTCCGTGAACAATATAGTGCAACTGAACAGATTCAGAAATTAGATGTTATCTTACTATAGAAATACTTAGACACGTAGCACAGTTAATGGTTTAATATCTAAGGAATTCTGGGCAGGATTCCGAAGAGTCATAGCACAGGTCCTGACAGTGGGCCCTCTTTAAAAGGTGTTTAAAAGTAAAAGTGATTTAATGATTGATCACAAAAGCATAAAACTAACAAGTAAATGTTCAAAACATAGTAAATAAATTTTAACAAGTACACTCAATATAAGAGAAGTAATGGGGACCTTTGATATTTTCAGGGAAAATATATTTTTTTAAGTCATCAAGTTGGAGTCAATTCAAAACAGACCCTTTAAGTGGCTTTCTAGCGGCAGTAAATTCTTTCTTTCTCAGAGCAGCTGGTGGATTTGAACTGTTGGAGAGGTACAGTTTTTGGGTTAACAGCTTAACTCTCTATAGATTATGTCACCAGAGCTTCCTAAAGTAAATATGGGAAATAGAAGCAAAAGGGTTAACTTGTATTTCAATATTCCCGTATATTACAACACAGGCTAACTCAATAACTCTACCAAGTTATGGGTGTTAAGAAGTATGCACTTATGAGCATGCACACATATCCATACAGTTATATCTCTTCAAATGCTAAGAATTACACAGTTACAAACCTTTTTTCATTGCTTATGTACCCCACTCTCAAGATCTGACAGCATGGTTTTAGGAAGTGATACATTTAATCTAAGTTTTTATCCCTGAAGGAATGCTGAGCACAGCTAAGTCAGTTTGATTTTAGTTTTTATGGGTGTGTGTGTGGGGGTGTATAATATCCAGGTAACTTTCAATATTATATTCACCCAAGCCAAGAAAATATTGAAATGTTTTGGCTGTATCATCTGGAAGGTATTTAATGTTCTTCCACAACAGTTAGTGGGAAAACAGATAGTAGTTGTGTATATCATATCTTATCCACTAAAATCTGAATCCATTATTTTCAGGACAGAACACCACAGCAGCCTACATCTTGTTTCATGGCTAAGGGATCATAACACTATCTGGCACGGCACCTATCTAACTGAAGCAAATGGACTGGTCTTCATCTCACTAGATAATACACCCTACCAAGCCAAAGTGTGTAAATGCCTCTTCCTTTTACCTACACTTTTGCTCTCAAAAGGAACACATTTGCCAGCTTCCAAATTCCAAGGTACTAGGAGGAATTTCAGAAATCATCCCTGAGCCCTTTGTTTTAGGGGTGAAGCTTTTCATTTGCTCAGTGACTTTGCCAGGAGCTAGGAATGGAAGTCAGGGCTGTGATGTCCCATCATGCATTATGAATTTCCCACTGGTTAGGGCGAGAAGTCCCCGTCCAAAGAGAGAGCTCAGTGTTTCTGCTTTAATTCCCAGGCTTCATGGAGTCTGAACTGCTTTCTTTGATCTGCACGACTGCCTCTTTCCCAGGGGCTGTACCTGGCTCCCTGACCTTGATCTCTTTCTTGCTTACAGTTTTGCTACCTGTCAAACAGGCCTACTGGATTTCTGAACTGCAGCCTACTCAATCTCAGAGGACTGCTAGACCATTCCATCCATCTGGAATCCAGAGAAGCAGGTCTGGCCCTTTTCTAGCCACCTTCTCTTTGGTTGCCCCTCATTCTAGTGTAAAGAAGTTACTCATTTCAAAAGCAAGCAAAGTTACAATTTACCTGTCAGTAAACAGAATATGGTTTATCAACAGACTTTACCTTAATGACTACAAATGTTTACCTTCTGCTTTCCAGAATGCAAAGAAAATCTTGGAAATGTCATAATATCTTACAAACATTTGCAAAACAGATCCTTATTCATCCGGAAAAGAAACAATTGTGTTCGTTGTCTCTGACACAAGGCAGCGCTCAGTGAGAAACAGGCAGAAAGATCTACGCATGTCTACATAAATGAGGTATGCTAATTAAAAATGGCGGTGGGCCCTTGAATAAAAATTTATTTCACAATTTATTCAAAATTCTTTACATCAACATATACAGAAGCTAGACCATTGGAACTGTAAATGATTGATCTTGAAAAGAGTGGATTTGTAGCTGGATGCAAACACTTTTAAGGAGTTTTTGTATCATGATAACTAGTTTCTTTAGAAGTATTTTGATTTGTCTACTTGTAGCCTGGGGTGGGGGGAATCTGAAACAAGTATCTCAGTGTTCATTTTATGGGAGAGATGGCTCCACTTAGTGTACTGCCCATGTTTGTCCGTATTACAGCTGTTTATCTTGCAACTTCCTTTAAGATTAATTAAATGCAAATGTAACACTGTGAATCATGGGAATACCTGCCAGACTTCTTATTAATACCTTCACTTAAAAACCCCTGTGCCGGAGAGTCATTAATTTGCTAAAAGAAAAGTGCTAAAGCAGCCCTTTTCCCACAAACAACTCCGAGATGGCTGCCCAATTAGTCCGGTAGCATTCCGTTCCTCCTCCTAGACCCCATGGCCCTTTGAGGACACACGAAGACTCCGATGATAACCTGGCAACCTAGGGGAAAGCTCAGCCAAGTGCGAGCGTTTGAAGCTGCAGTTTGGCTGCCATCGTGTCGGCGAAGAGAAAGAATTCAGGCACCATGTCATCCAGTACAAAGGATAAAAACAGATTCAACCGGAAATTCAATGTGGCACCACATATGGGATACATGAGTGCGGTTATACAACAGGCCACATATTTTTTTTTGAACAGTCTCCTACATGTGATGCCGAGGACATGTGTAACCATCATAACGTCTCTAGGAATCTGTATTTAATTTGAGTTGGGGTGGTGGCAGGGATTGGAGATCTGAAGCCGCCACAGGTTTGTGGCAGATGGCTCTGTGTCAGCTATGACAAGCAGCCAGGCTCAGCTTCCTCTGCAGATTTTCTTTTCTCTCTGATCAGGTAAATATGGGCACACTCTGGAAAGTTCTCCAGATTCTGCCTTAGGCTGCAAGTTTGTGACTTAGCCCCATCTGTCACAAATCTTCCCTAGGTTCTGTTGTAAGCAGAGACCTGAATTTACCATGTAGGGCTGCCCAAGTAAACGGAGCCATTTCGCCCTGTAAGGGGGGAGGGAGAGAAGAGAAAGAAACGAAGACGTATTAGTGACTGTGAATAATGACTGAGAAGTAAAAGTATGCTGAAAATTCAAACTATACCTTTTAATAACTTAGGAGGCTCCTGTGGCCTAGTGGTAAGGCCAACCCAAAGGTATGTGGTTCACATCCACTAGCTGCTCTGCGGAGAACTATGGCCAGTCAACTCCCGTGTGAATTACTGCCTCTGAAAACCCACGGGAGGGTCTGGAGCTTTGGGTTGGTTTGGACTTGAGGGTGCGCAATAATAATGTCAATTATATTTTAAAAAGCCAACAAGTGAAAGATTCTAAAGTTTCACCATCTCAGGAAATCTTGGTCACTGACTGGATCAGAGTGTAAACACTCTTTCCAACCGGAGGAGAAAGGTCTTCTTTTGCCAATGGGTACATCTACTGCACACATATTTCCTGGCTTCTGTTATGGACAGCAGCTAGTAGGCTTTTATCATTCAACTTTAACTTTTATAAACAAAAGATACACAGCATCTTATTACATGCTTTTGCTAATGTGAGGTTTACTTTTAAGTGGTGATAGTATAAGGTAACTATAAGCCTATTAGGTGAAACCAGAAAGCACTTCAGGTTTAAAACTGGTTATATTCATCAGCACAGTACTCAGGAGGGAAATGCTATATGAGCTATAAAAAAAAAGTCTTCCAGTTTCACAGAGGGATCATATAGAGGCTAAGAAAATCACCTCATGACAGACTGCAAAGGAGGAGCACAGAAAGACAAGAAGCCCAGACTTCTAGATTTCCTGTTTTTATTTTAGAAAAATCACAGGGAAACCAGAGAAAAGAACCTGGAGGAGAGAAAGTTGAAGGAAGGGAATAAAAGTAAAAGAAAAGGGAAGAAGAGAAGGACAAAGAGAGAGAGAGACAGAGACAGAGCAAGAGGTTAAGACTGAGACTTCATCTTAAATTGTACTGGTAGAGTTTTTGGTAGATCTTGAAACGTCACAAGCTTTAAAGTTCTCAGTTTAAGAAAAAAAAATAATGACCGAGGGAGAGTTAGTACTAGTGAGCCACACCTTATTCATTATATCTAGAGTATAAACTCCAATTAAAAAAGACTGAAAAGCAACCAGTTTCTTGAAGGAAACAAAATGGCTTGGTTGCAGCTCGGGTAGACAGAGCCCGACATAAGAAGACAACCACACATGGCCTTTCTGGCCATTGAGTTTCAACATTTTCTTTGGAATCAGTTTGGGGCAGAAATATCTAAAAATTCTGCTCTCCTCCAAATAACAGCAAGTTATAAAAGGTTTCCTCAACGATAAAGAACTTGAAAAGAAAATAAAAATCATTAGCCATGATTGGAGTAGCTACTGGTCACTCTTGAAAAGAACCAAGAGAGTATGACTTCGTTATTCCCATAGAGAATACTGCTCAATGTATTAATAAAGTAAGTACGAGAAAGGGCAGGGATGAGACTCCTTCTCAGTAATTTGGTTGTGACTATCCTCTACCGCTGAGCCATTCATACTCTTGTGTTATTGCCACTATTACTTGTGTTATTGTCAATATTAGATTCATATTCTTATGTTATTGTTAATATTAGATTGTTAATAACAAGAGCAGGTCTGTAATTTCCCCCCCCCCACCAAGGCATTCAAAATACAATGATCATAGGTTCAGGTTCTCCTAAAACCATGAAGTATTTATTTCAAATAATTGTTGGGATTTTTTTAGGATGGAAATGTAAAATTGAGTAAAGAGAATGACTGGACACCCTAAGTCTCTGTAAACTTTCATTAAAATTAATTAAAAAAAAAATAATGAGGCAAAGAAAAGTCCCACTGCATGGTATGAGATATGTTTGGGTTGGAAAGAAATAGTGTTAATAGTATTTCATTGGTTATTTTTTGGTCACATCTAGGAACTTGTGTTCATATTAGGCTTGGGAGCCATATTAAAAAAGAAGGGGTAAAAAAAGCAAACCAAACACGTTGCTGTTGAATCTCACTCACAGCAGCTCCCCTCAAGGAATCCAAAGTTGTAATCTTTTAGTCATCAGAATGTCCTTTTCTTTTGTGGAACTGCTGGTTGGTTTGAACCATCAACCTTTAGATTAGCAGTTGAGTAATTTAACCCCTGTGTCCCATGGCTTTTTTGGGAGTCTTCTGCAGGGAGCTCAGGTGGCCTAGTGGGAAGAAACTGGACTGCAATCCCGAAGGCATCAGTTCAAATTCACCAGTCACTCTGCGGGAGAAGGATGGGTAATCTCCTCCTTTGTGATTAACTGCCTCTAAAAACCGGCTGGAGGGCTGGTCAGCTATGGGTCAGTTTCAACCTGATGGTAAACAACAACAATATAATATATGCATCCTATTGAGTAAAATCAACTTTATCTTTGACAAGTATTATGGTCAATAGGTCTCCCCTATCTAGAAGCATACAAGAAAGGTGCAATCAATAAGTCTATGACTAAACTACAGATGTGACTAATGAAGAAATGGCCCAGCTAGCATTTGAATTTCTCTAAGAAAAATCGAAGAAAAATGTGTGCGTTGGGGGTTGAGCACAGTACACACACACACACACACACACACACACACACACGTACATACAAGCAATTCAAACATTTTTGTCCCAAAACCATTTCAAGTGGGAATTCATGGACACAGAGTTCAGTAGGGGAAAAGAGTCACTTTAACAGGGGGAAGAAAAGTATCAAATTCTGTTTCTGCTTTTCAGTTACTAGCATGCCGTTTCAAATGTTGCTGCAAGTTATAGCCCCAAAACTCTCACTCATAATGAAAGTATAATGTCTTATGTGAGAAGAAAGCCAAGTGTTAGTAGCCTTATTCTAGTCATTAAATTTATAAGTGTGAATCCATATGAAAAATCCTATCCTAAAGTGAACTCTGCATGATAAACAGCTGAGATGATTTTAAAATGTAAATGTGTAACACACACACACACAAACACACACACACACACGGGTGTAAAAATGTAAAAGGAGCAAATTAAAGATTTCAGTGACATTCTATCCATTTGGATCTTAGAAGCATATGCTTTATAAATACAAAACAGCACTGTCCAAGGGAATAAATATAAAAAAAAAATCTTAAAACCCCAAACTCAACATTTTCTTTACAGGACACAAAGGATCTTTTCCATCGCTTTAAAAAAAAAAAGATAAAAAGCTGCTTTGGGGTTAATAATTCTCTAATATTTAGTGAAAGCAAACATTAGAGGAAAATGTGTATGTTTTTAAAAGACAAGGTAATAAACATAATAATGTGTTATATATGTTCACTGTAAAGCTTTAGAAGGCATTCTTTCTTTGTTTTGGCTCTAAATCCAATCACAATAGCCAAACAAAAAAGCCATGGTCACTCTGTGGATTTAACTTGATGGCCTCTAATATGCTAGATTTTCTTTGACAACTGAATCACAGAGCCCTCGACTACTTTCCATTCTTAGCCTAATTTCTTTCTTTTTGAGATCACTATATAGGTATAATAACAGGAAAAAGTGTAAATGAGGACATATGTGAGAGTATATTACAGATTTACAAGGGAAAAGAAAATCCCAGGTGAAAGATACTTATAAGTAAATTAAACCTAGATTCTCACAAATGCTTATATAAGAGTGCACTAATTTATAAAACTTTGAGGTGAAACCTTTTTATCATGTACTGACTAAAAATATCTGCATGTCATTTAGATGCAACAATTCAATGACATAACATTTAAAGTATAGTTTCCCTTTAAAGCGGTATGAGGAACACATTAGTTGGTATGTCTTTTTTTTACTGGCATCCCACTAAGCTGACACTCATTTCATAATTACGGCAGGAGCTGCATTAAAATATTTCAACTAGAGATCTGTTTTCTAACTAAAGGCAACTTGTTGCAGTAACTCTGAAAAGGATTAAAAATGTACAGATTCAGAATAATAGGGTTAATAAAGCTTGACCTGAAGCAAAGTTAGAAACATTTATTTTTTTGGGAGAAGTGCATTTATTAATATTTCACCAAAAATTCACCTGAAAGAAAAGCTGTGAACTCTTTGAAAAGAGATTTTTGTCATATGTAGAAAATGGATCTATTTGCATTAATAATTACTGGAGTGTTTGCTCAGTCTTCAAAGTCTGCTTATTTTGGTAGTGTACCATGTGGAGAACTATCTGACTATAATTTTACACAAGTAAAACTGTTACTGAACTTTTAAAAATGAAGAAATAGCGAGGGAAGCCTTAGAGGACTGTTTTCCTGTTTTCTTTCCCATGTATACGATACAATAGTATTGACTCAAAGAGTAATACTGAAGCCTGGAACTGTTCAGTCAGCATTTTAAACTATTATGAGCTACCTTCTGAACCATTGCCAAGTTAATAGACAATGAAAGATAATGAGCTTGAAATTGGGTGTTAAATTGCATTTTTGGTTCTCTCCCTTTTTCTTGAAGTTTAACTGTTTCCTGCAGAAACAGAGTCATGTTTTGATGTATCACTATGTAAATATGTATTTTAGGCCATGAAAAACGGGAAGGAGGTCGGGGGGGGGGAGGCAGAGCCCTGTATTTCATGTGGGAGGGTTATTAACATAAGAAAATTAAAATATGCCAGTTTATAAAAAGGATAGACTGTAAACGATCCTGAATTTATGTAAAACGAAGATGATGCATTCAAAGAACATAAAAAGGTATATTCCTCATGGCCTAGAGCCACCTTCAACACTCATAACGCAGATTTATCCTAGTTCAATTACGTAAGACTTTTAGTAGAACCTCTTTGTGTTGTTATTTCAACATTATACAATTCTTGATTCAAACAATGGGAGAAAAGACAATGAATGAAGGGACAGAATGAGGATGCTATTTAGACAATTTTCCTCTTACTTTTGCCATTCATAGTTGAGACTGACAGTTTGATTCTAAACAAACCGAGGATCTGTGTATCATTTCATTAAACCGGAAAATGCAAAGATTCGCCTCTTGAAAATCATCTCTAAAGTTGTTCAGAAATGAACACCAAACTTCAGTGCTGTCATTCATCGGAATTTTTGAGGATTGAAGATTTCATTATGATGGGAGGAATGGCTTCTCCTCATTAGTATAATTGTAGAAGCTTTCCTTTACTTCCTTTTAAACTAATGAGTTACATTAATCCAGGTTCATTTTTATAAGCCTCTCAGGGCTAAACATAAAGGACAGTCATCTTAGAAAACAATAAATTTTTTTAAAAAAGCATGTACCGTGCATTAAGTGCACGTATTTCATAAGACCTAGGTTAATACAACTGGCATCCAGTTTAATTAATCCTTGTTAGTGTAACAACTAATATCCCTCCCTAGCATGTTTCCTTTAAACATTAGTATGTTAATTAAATGTTGTTGTGTTTTTTTTAAAAAAATTTTTCTTTGTACTTCAATATGGCATTTATACCACGTAAATCTATTCTCAATAGCTACCGTATAGAGATGTTTTCTTATAATATCTGGTCTCTTGCAGAAATTCTGGAGCCTTTTTGAAAGCTGTTCAGGTGTAGAATACAGATATTCAGCTGCAGGAAAAACAGATACATTTTTAATGAAACAAAAACCTCAAAGCACACACTCGATATTAGTCACTTTACTAATTAAAAATGCATATTGCTCTGTGCCGCCTCGTGTTTTACATTATTTAAGCATGATTTTATAAGGTTACCTCAGCTCACAAGGATGTTTAATGCTAAATAAGACTGTGTAGTTGTGATGTTTAGACATCTCCTTTGGGTGATTAAAATACATTATTCTAATGTAACACAATGCATATGTGATATATTTAGTGATGAGAATTTTTTCAAAGAACTGGTACTATAGCCGTATGTACCTTGTACAACAGTTGCATGCTATTAACTAGTCAATTGTTTCAATGATTTGGTGTGACTTATAGTCCTCAATTTTTCTGTGTATATAATTTAAAAAAAAATAAATCTGTAAGCTATTGCAGTAACACTGACCTGCTTATAAAAATCCATCATTATGGGATATGTATGCTAACAATGAAGAATGCTATTTGAAAACTTGCTTTTTTGTTATCTTTAAGGAACAGATGGTAAATATAAGCTTACTCTAATGTATTAAAACACATAAAATTTTCCTTAACACTAACATGTTGACTTGCCAAATAAACAATTGCTCCTGCCTAAGTTTATTTTCAAACTTTCTAATTCAGTATGAATCATGCATTGAACCTCAGCAGAGACAAAATATGTTAAAGCAGCTACCTGGAAATATTTCTGGATAGACCAAATCCTTGGGGCAAAGTGGATAACAACCACAATACACTGCTTCCAACCTAAAGAAATTTGAGTAAGAGGACAAGAAGAATATATTAAAAAAATTACTATCATAGCCAGAAAGTGATTTTGTTTGCTTAAATTGATATATTATGGATCCAGAAATTACAGGGGCAAAGACCATGGTTGGCAATACAATCTCAAAAGCCCAAGTTGTTCCTTTAAAGAATTTTATTGATCATATATGAATTTCATAGAACAGAACCAAGAGCATATGTTTTGTTCACTGAATTAATCAAAGTGCAGCTCTGCATTTTTTTTTGTTTTTAAAATACTGTTTAACACATTTTATAATCAGCAGATAAACACATGTAACAACATGGTAAAGTATGGACAGCTTTTCTTAATAATGTTGCAAAGCCCTAGAATGTTCATTTTTCAAAAATGTTTAAATAAAATAACAAACACTAAACTTTAACACTATAGCCATGCAAATGATTGAGGCACTCTTTAAATCATCAGAAAAAATTTTTACAATCTGTTGTGATGGGGCATTTTCATTTAAGCTCATGCTTCTAAACAATTTGTTATTATGCAGAATGTAAAACTATCCCTCCCCCAGAGCCCCCGATTCCCCGTTTCCCTGGTGAAAAAAAAATCATCTCTTATGAAAGCTGTATTAACGGATATTTGTGTTTCTTGCCTACAACTTTAGAACATTTTCCATTTTATTATAAAATATTACCTTAAGCAAACACAAAAAGAAAGTTTCACTTTGTGAGAATACTGCCCCAGAGACACCTCAAGGAAGTTTTCTACATGTAAAGGCAGTAAGGGTTAAGTGGAGGGAAGGTATTGTATTGTTTCACCCCTGCATAATGGCTATTGAACTGACTATAATAAACTTTAAAGATACCACTGTAATTTCTGCTGGCTCAAAATTATGCAGTAAAATTCAAAACACTCTTTAAAATATGTTTATTTTATGAGAAACTTTGAATAGCATCCAAAAATGTTGACCAAAGGCGGAATTTTATTTTGAACTGCAGAATTTTTTCAACCCAAGAATAATTTGAAGTCATGTCAATGTTTACCTTGTTTGTTTACAGTGACAAAGTACATGCAATTTAAGCTGTTTTTAAGTGGGTGATGTTTTCCCTATTTTATTTGTTGACTGAAATTAGTTCAAGTGAGTCTTTGATGCTGTAAAGTTTGGAAAAATACTGAGCTAAAAGTTTTCTTTTAAAACTGATAGAAACTGCAAGGTAACACAGTCAGAAAGCACATAATCTAGTTACCGAGAATTAATTTCAGAAACCACAGTATTATTGAATATTTTTCTTTACATGCAGAGAGTATGCAGAAATTATAATTGTAAGCATACCTATAACATGCACTATGAGTGCATTTTAAGCAGCAACAAAAGTTTTGAGCACATAAACTCATAATGTGCTTTCGAAACCAAAGAAAATACAAACTTTAAATGAAGATACTCGGTTTTATGACACTGTGCCAAGTGAAAAGCAAATACATATGAACATTCTCTTATAATTACATAAAATCAGAAGAGTGAAGTCACAGGCATTTCGGAAAGAGCACATGCTATCTGCTTTTTAATAATGGATTCGATTTAGAAGATTCTGTCCCCTGAATGAAAACTACAGGCCAAGTTACATTTTGAGTCATTGTATGAGCATATACTATGCCATCCATTTCCAAAATACCTCTGCTAATTAAAATTCAGTAAGACAGAAGTGTCATTCTTAAGATTTTGAGGAAAAATATGACAAATTATGTCTTTCAACTGTTGTTTGTAAAATTTGTAAATTACCTTATTCATAGTTATGCTTCTAATTTTCCAGGTAAAAACAAAACCAACTAAAAAGCCACCATCAAGATTTTATTTTTGTGTTGTTAAAATACTAACCATACTGTCTATAATATTTAGAGGACTATATTTGAAAATATATTAAATAGGCCAATATATTTTAAGACAAATTTATCAAATTCATCCTCCTAAGTTTTCCCTATTTTGTTAGTTTGAAGAAAATGATCATCTCCTGACAATAACATGATTGTTCATCATTCCAATTCTTATGCACTACCAGTTAAATAATAAATAGGGTTCCAATTGATCTATTGTTAAAATGACTAGTAAATGACCTTTTTATTCCAATTAACAAATCATCTGCTAAATCTATGAATCTTAATATTCAGATCTATTCACTTCAATTCATACAATTTATCTGCAAATAGTTGTTGGGCTTTTGATTCTAAATATAATTAGCTGATAATTTTGCTTGGCTGAATTACTTTTCTGGAGGGCCTGTAGAGGCTCTCAGACGCATTATCTAGCAATAATGAATCTGATAGGTGAAATTTTTTACTATAATGAGGATGAGACACAGTTGTGACACCTGAGTCTACTACTAACAGAAGACTGCTAATTATCGACAGCACTTTTTTGTGTGATGCAAGGAAGAAGAAAAAAAAAATCCCTCATTATTAAAAAATAAAAAGTTACAATTATAAGTGACACCGGAGGAGAGTAAATAAAATGGAGTGATTAAAACATTGCTGCTTTAAGGGTGTTTTTAATTAAGTGG